GCGGTGTCAAAGAAGGCGCTAAACTAGTGCTCGACGGCCGGGACCTCAAAGTGAATGGCTTTGAGTCCGGAAATTTCGTCGGACCCACTATTCTGACTGATGTCCGGCCAAACATGAAGTGCTATAAAGAAGAGATCTTTGGCCCTGTTTTAGTGATACTCAGTGTCGACACATTAGACGAAGCCATTGAGATCATTAACGCCAACCCCTATGGCAACGGAACGGCTATATTTACGACCAACGGTGCCATCGCTCGCAAGTTTACACATGAGGCAGATGTGGGACAAGTGGGCATCAATGTGCCAATTCCTGGTAGGCATACTTTCTATATACTGTATACTTCCTTAGTATAAGTGTGTATTAATTGGTTGACACCTGTATTCCAGTGCCACTTCCCATGTTTTCATTCACCGGCAGTCGGGGCTCATTCCTCGGAGACTATAATTTCTACGGAAAAGCGGTATATATTTGAATTAATTGTTAGCTAAGGATATAAAGTTAATTTTGCATATTTAATGGAAAAGGGTCTCAACTTTTACACTCAACTGAAAACAGTGACTCAGTTGTGGTCACCGGAACACCACTCGGACACAGCGGCCACTAATTTCCCGGTCATGAAGTAAGAGTCATACGAGCTTTGGATCCTAATCTCAAACACGCTGTCTATTAGACATAGTATTTGACATCTCAATGGTTTTTAAATTTATTAAAACCTTTTTGGAATAAATTTCTTACAAATTTTAATTTTTGTTAAACAGATATTATGAATAAAATTAATTTTCTATGGTTAATGTGAATTATTTATTAGTTTATATATCCAAACAACTCGTTAATGAGTATTTTAAAGTCGACCTCAATTTGTTTTGAGGAAAATGTTTATTAATTGATTAGTTTTGGAAAACAATTTTTGTTCACAACCGAGAGTTGATTTTAAATGAATGATAGGAGTAATCATTAAGTATTTAAAATGATAGATAAGGTGATCGTCGGTCTAAGCAACGCCTTAATCATTGAAATGATGTAATATTTAAGATTGATTTCGTTTTTCTCTCCGATAACTATTTTGTTTATTTTATATTTCATTCACTTTAAAGTAAAAATGAAAACTAAATAAAAATGAGAAAACTTTTTTCAATGCAGCGAACGAGTGATTTATTGAGAAAACAAGACTTAATTAACACAAAGACATAACATTTTAAATGAGTTTAAAACACATATAAACTGTTGAATAGATTTATTTAAATTAGATTAGATTACAGAGCATTATTTGATTGGACGACAAATTGTGTATTAAATTATATTATATAAAGATTGAGTGAAAGCAGACATAAATATTTGAGTCATTTATGACGAACTGATTTGAACACAAACTTAATTGAATTGAAGCGCAAATATATTTAAAATATATTTCTATAAGTTATTTGAAATCAAAAGCGACTAAACTTTGAATCCATAGACCATTTAGTATTTGCCGTAACCGTAAGCCAGGACCTTTGCGGGCTCAGCGTAGCCAACATGGTTGATTTTGACACCGTACGAGCCAATGGGACCTAATCCATGGCCGTATCCAATACCTCCAAGACCTCCATAACCAATACCTCCGTGACCGACCTCAGCGACAGCTAATCCCAAGACGGGTCCGTGAGAGACTCGTGCGTATCCATGACCACCATTGATGGAAACGTCTGCGGGATCTTCTTTGGGGTCAACGCCGGGCTCATTGGTCTTGATATCGGCGCGGAATCCGTGAGCGTCGGCGACATAGTTGACAATTCGTTGTCTTCCGTCGTGATCTGTGAGTCCATAAGAGCCCACCTGAACGCCATGTCCTCCCTTTTCCTTTCTGAAGGAACCACCGCTAGCGTGTTGCTCATCGTATGCGAAGGCATAGTTCCCATGACCCTAACCCACACATTCGTTATGACAATTAGTATACTTGTAATGAGTTTATAAAAGTACGGTTTACTCACGTCGTCAGATCTTTGCACATTGGATGAGCCGGTGTTGACGTGACCCAAGTAGGGCACGGCATCCACACACACAACGATGGCTACGGCCAACAAAGCGAAGAATTTCATTTTTATGAGGTTTTGGGTGAGTATTGACTCAAATTGAATCTCACGATCAGACGGATTGAACGAATTGAGCGATCGGTTCGGTATATATATCCAAAAGAAATGATCACATGTTTCACGTTACTTAAGACCAGAAGCAGACAATTGATTGTGAGTTCCAATAGCGACCTCAAGGTCTCCATCAGTAAGAGACGCCTTGAATGCCGTTGTCTTTTAGATCTCAATATGTAATCGTATTATTCAGATCACATCAATGGGTTGGAAAGGGTGTAGTCTTAACCTTACGGTAAAACTCCAGGACTTCTCACTATTTCTAATTTTACTTATTATTCCAAATTAATTATACAATTCTTGCGATTTTTGTTTTGTTTTATACATTCAATTTGATAACAAATTCCTGATTCTTACATTTGATTGAACACTCGTTTAATGCATTTATGATCCAAATTATATGTTCGTAATCGGGTCCCGACCAGACGGCAGACCCTAATTGGCAGGCATTCAAGAGTGGAGTGCGTGAGAGGAACGCCTCCATGTTTAACAACCCACTCATGAGTGACGTGCTCTTCATCGTCGGTCAGAAGGGCTCCAATAGTGGTCAACAGCGCATCCCAGCGCACAAGTATGTCTTGGCCACCGGTTCCTCTGTCTTCTACGCCATGTTCTTCGGCGGTCTCGCGGAGGAGAAGGAGGAGATTGAGATCCCGGACGTCGAGCCCTCGGCTTTCCTCACGCTATTGAGGTATGCATTGAGTTGTCGTTTCTGTCATTATCTGTATTCGCAGTCTTTGTGTCACTTTATGTCTGAAAGACTTTCATAACTATTGCACAAGAATTTGACCCAAATTTGCCAAAACTAAAGGAAATCTTTTTTCTAATTCTTCGCTCACTTTAAGGGTTTCGAGACTTTAAACGCTTTACTCAACCAATAAATTCATTGACTCTTAAAAACTATTTATTTTCAATTATTTGCATATTTTTATATTCATTTGATTTTGTTTTTATTTCATTACTTTATGGAAATAAATGTTCAAATCATGTTTAAAATGTTATAAAATTGTGGAGAATTGAGGAAAGATTTCATGAATAGATCTGTATTTGGGTTTATAATGATTTGCAAACTTGAAATCATTGTGTTATGCATTGAATGCACTAAATATCGTGTTTTCAAAGTATTGTTCAAAAGGAATAAATTGCGAGAAAATAATTTGACCCAAAATTGTCTCCAAAAGTAGTGTAACTGTTGAGTCATTTTTTGCTTCAATTTGTCATACGATTGAACATATGATGGCTATGATTGCAAACTATAGATTATTACATTTGGTTTTATTTTTTAAATTAATTTATCATTCCTTTAATTACTTATAAATAGAAGCAATGCCAAACAAAATAACTTTTTATAAGTAACTTAGATATTACCCTGGTTTCAGTAGAAAACTCATAAAAACACTTTACGTATGTCTTAAAGTCACATGAAATATAATTGTTGTTTGTTTTTATATGAATGCATTTCACAACAGATATATGTATTGCGATGACATATGTCTGGAGGCGGACAATGTGTTGGCGTCTCTCTACGCGGCGAAGAAGTATTTGGTGCCCCACTTGGCCCGCGCCTGTGTCTCGTACCTGGAGACCAGTCTGACCGCCAGAAACGCATGCATTCTCTTGAGTCAAAGTCTTCTGTTCGAAGAGCCAGACCTCATGCAGAGGTGTTGGGAAGTGATCGACGCTCAGGCAGAGCTCGCACTCGCCTCCGATGGCTTCGTTGACATTGATTTCCAAACACTCGAATCCATTCTCTCCAGAGAGACACTCAATGCCAAAGAGGTCTTCATTTCAATTCTCACACTCTTTGGTTGATTTATAATATAGAAATGTTTGCATTCATTGCAGTTATCGATATTCTATGCGTCCCTTCTATGGGCTAACTCTGAGTGCCAGAGAAGGGAACTGGAGATCACTGCCGACAATCAGCGCAAAGTCTTAGGCAATGCTTTGTTTTTGGTTCGCATTCCAGCCATGAGTTTAGAAGACTTTGCGAACGGACCCGCACAGAGTGGACTCCTCACACTCCAGGGTAACACATCACACACCATACCACTCTAAGTCTCGTCTCATAATCTCATTCACTATTAAACTCTTATATTATAGAAACTACAGATATATTCCTCAACTATACGGCTGCTGTCAAACCTATACTACAGTTCCCCACCATAGCTCGTCTCGGACTCAAAGTCCAAATCTGTCACCGATTCCAGTCGTCTGCCTATCGAAGCAATCAATGGAGATATAGAGGACGTTGTGATTCAATTCAGTTCAGTGTAGATAAGCGTATATTTGTGGTGGGCTTTGGACTGTACGGCTCGTCTAACGGCGCCGCAGACTATAAAGTGAAGATTGAATTGAAACGAATGGGGAAAGTGTTGGCCGAGAATCACACGAAGTTCTTCTCCGACGGATCGAGTAATACATTTAACGTCTACTTCGAGCACCCGATTCAGATCGAGGCGGACACCTTCTACACGGCCTCAGCCATACTGGACGGTCAGGAACTGAGCTATTTTGGTCAGGACGGCCTCACCGAAGTCACCATCAACGGCAACGTGTCCTTCCAGTTCCAGTGCAGTTCTGACAGCACTAATGGCACGGGTGTTCAGGGCGGACAGATTCCCGAAATCATTTTCTACGGACCAATGGCTCACTCGTCTACTACTCACCAATCAATCACTCATTGAATCTCAAATGCAAACTTCATTCAAACGTTGGCTTTGTTTTAGTCATTCTGTAAATAATTCTTAGACTCTATTAGACTTATATACACTTTATTTTAAATCTATTTAATTGTACTATAATTCCAAATATGCATCAAATTATTGACTAATTGTATAGAATTTAGACCTGTTTTCAAATCATCCACTTGTGATTGTAATTATCGTATAAATTATACAATTCCGTATACAGTAACACTTCACTTGTTATTTCCTAATATGAATATACCGTAAATAATGTCTAATTTCAATCAACTTATATCATAATAACTACAAAAGTAATACCAATTAGGGCTGTCTTTCAATAAACCAATTGTTAAATACCACTCTTGTGTTCATTTTTTACTCGTATATATGAATCAAAAGCAATTATATTTGATATAAACTATTAGTTTAATATAAAATTAATATACAATTAAAGTATTGTAAGGGATATAGAGATGTGAATAATAGTAGCGATGAATGAGTTATCGTTTATTATTATTGATACGTTTGGGTCGTGTCTGGAGTACATTGAGGAACTTGCCCCTGGTCATCTCACGCGCCTCCTCCAGTCCCAACTGATAGGACAAGTTCTGCAGTTCCTTCACCTTCTCGAGGAGTGCCGACGCGGTCAGTGACCCGAAGCCGTGCAACATATTTATGTCATCCGGGTCTAAGTCCGTCAACCATTCACTGGCCTGAGACTTCGTGTCGAACAATGGCGGCGAAGAGTTGGCCAAAAACTCGGTCACTCCGGGAACTGATCAGTGGAAAGGCATGTCATTAGTGTAATCGAGTGATTGGTGCGGATGGGAAGGCCTACTCTGTTCGGGCCAGAGGTCGGGCGACGCTCTGTCCAGACGCTCTTCACTCAGAAGCAGATCTCTCTCCAAATCGGTGCCATTGAACACGTCTGAAGACATAGAAGTGTTAGACAATTGATGGTCAATGTGTTGGCATACCTTCGGTGGCCATCAGTTGCGATGGATTCGTGTCATTGGACTCAACACTGCATTCATTTGGTGTCTGTTTTGAACTCATTTTCAATTTGTTTCCCTTTTTTTGATTCAATTTTTTGAATTCAATTCAATTTTGTGCACTCACTGTATGGCCATAAAGTGGCACTTATGCAGTTATGCGTTTCTTATATAAATCAGTTGTCGAGTCGTATTATAAAAGGGCCCAAATTGAAGCCTTCAATTCATGTTTCATTTCCATAGTAGCCGTTCATAAATGATATTCTTGTAAAAGGAGTTGAGTGTAAAGAGTCATTCAAAATGAATGTTATTAATTAACAGTAATATTTAGTCCCTAAGTCTGAATATCTCTACGATTTCAGTATAATTGTGTTATAAAACCTGTTTGTCTGTTTGGACCCCTTCCCTAATATTGTGTACAGTGTTTGTGTGTATCTCTTATGAGTGATAGAAATGTTTTGATGATTTGGCGATCGGTTGATAGGATCTGAAGAGTTGGTTATCATTTGATTTGAGCGCAACTCACGTAACCATTAATTATCTGCAATGTTGGACAACGTGCTGTCTCTGTCTTCATACCAGCCACTGATCCCACCGACAATTTACCCCCATTTGAGTCTATTGTCGCTCATAATTGGGGTCTTCTTCATGGTATGCCTTGACTTTCATTTACCGGTATTTGCGGTAATCATTGACTGTCTTCATACCAGCCACTGATCCCACCGACAATTTACCCCCATTTGAGTCTATTGTCGCTCATAATTGGGGTCTTCTTCATGGTATGCCTTGACTTTCATTTACCGGTATTTGCGGTAATCATTGATTTGTTTGTCTTAAGGCCTGGTTCTTCACTCTGGAAGTGACCTCAAAGTCGTCATCGAATATAGTGAAAGAGTTGACGACATCACTGATCGGATCCGCTTTCATCGGCTTCGGGACTGTATTTCTGTTGCTTTCCGTCGGGATCTATGTCTGAATTAGTGATGGCTTTCATAAACACATTGTCTGAATGTCTCAACATTTGGTTTATAATTACAATTAAATATCAAGTTTTTATAAAATGTATAAAACTTTTCTTATAACACATAAGAAATGAGTTTTTGTTTTAAAATAATAAATTATTTCCAGTTTTCTCTTTTTGTTGTCTCTTTTTACTGTTATTGCCTCTAATTATGTGTTCAAACATTGAAATGAATTTTTTTCAAAATTATACCGTATAATGAGTTTTACTAATGCTTTTTAACTATTTGTAATTAAGGCAATTTATTGTTTAATTATATGCAATTAGGGGTCAAATGAATATTACATGGCTAATTATATGACTTAAAATAAAACATAACTATTATGTAAATACAACAGCAATTAAGTCATGATTTTATAACAATTTCTTTGGTTTTGCTTCTTTCCAATCGATTTCGCACTTCAGACCACTCTTCAGATCTTTCAAACACTTCTCTCTGTCTTTAACTGACGGCAAATCAAAAAGCTTAAGATGTTTGAGATTTCTGTCAATAAGTTAATGATAACAATTAGTCAGTGTTTGAAATGAATGGTAAATAGTAATCACTTTAATTGAGTTAAGGAGAGAACTCCTCTGTCTGTGACTCCAATGCAACTAATTATTGCCAAATGTGTTAAACTATTACTACAAATGCCTAACATCTCAATGGCGTTGTCTTCAATATATCCATTATTTTTGATGACAAATGTGTCCAAAGAGTGCAAACCATCTGTTTTGTGGTAAACAATGAGATAATATGTTATACCACGAATGCAATCATTGGATGTGATATGAGATACTGAGGTGAGGGAAGCCAATGTGGGTGATGGACGAGTTGGTGGCGTCGATCTCTTTGATGCTGCGTTTGGTCACATCGTACTCCAAGAGGTCGTAGTCTTTGACCCAATGGTGACTATCAGTCCACTTGACTGCCGCACCGTTTTTGATGAGCCACTCAGCGGCCGCTCTGTCGGCGCCCACCTCTTGGAGGCGCTGCGGATCAGGTCTGAGATGATCAACGAGTCAATCAATGGTTACATTATGGACTCATTGTCTCACTTATTGAACACATTGATCATCCACTGCCAGAAGTATCTCTTGGACTGTCTTTGAATGCAATGGTATTTGCTTTGAAATAAAAGTGCCATTAATTTGGGGATAATTTTGAGACCAAATCCAAAGTTATGTTAATTTTTGCAAATATTTTATTATTTTTGGGCACAAATTATTAATAAAATTTTCTTTTCATTTTAATCGACTGTTTGTGAGACAAAACCAAAAACTATTTCTCGCATTGATTTGAATAATAAAAGACAAAAATCACTGAAATTTTTAAAGTAATATTGAGATAAGAGTGCAATGATTAGGCAATGGATGCAGAAATTCAATGAATCTGTAGTTTTGCATAACATGTTGACAACAAATCGGAGGGAAAGTAGGCTTTAAGGAGACGACTCACTACTCATCCCAAACACATCACTTCATCTCTACTCTAAAAACTTTATTATTTTGTGGGAAAATACTTTTGAAACTATTATTTTGTTTGAATATATTATTTACAAGTTGTTTACATATTATAATATCCAACACAACAAGTGTTTTTAATTCAATTAGAAAGCGATTAATTTAAGTTAAAATCAATAATTAATTTAACGATTCAGTTCTCCTCCCGGTTTGAGTGAAAATAATAAAACTATGAATAAATTAATTTTGCTTTTCATTATTTTATTAAACGCATTTGTGCATTGAAACATGCATTTTAATACCTCGTTATTATTGCATCAAAATATTTTATTTTTATTTTTGGTTTGTGAAATATTTTTATTTTAAAATAGTTTATAAAATAAACGTAATTTGTAAAGAAATGATTATTTAATGTGATAAAAACTTAAATTAAGTTTCGGTTTGAAAAAATGATTGTGAATTATAGTTTTACATTAACATTGAATTAAAAAATTTTTTCCATACAATACGAACATATAATTTGGATCATAAATGCATTAAACGAGTGTTCAATCAAATGTAAGAATCAGGAATTTGTTATCAAATTGAATGTATAAAACAAAACAAAAATCGCAAGAATTGTATAATTAATTTTGAATAATAAGTAAAATTAGAAATAGTGAGAAGTCCTGGAGTTTTACCGTAAGGTTAAGACTACACCCTTTCCAACCCATTGATGTGATCTGAATAATACGATTACATATTAAGATCTAAAAGACAACGGCATTCAAGGCGTCTCTTACTGATGGAGACCTTGAGGTCGCTATTGGAACTCACAATCAATTGTCTGCTTCTGGTCTTAAGTAACGTGAAACATGTGATCATTTCATTTGGATATATATAGCGAACCGATCGCTCAATTCGTTCAATCCGTCTGATAGTGATATTCAATTTGAGTCAATACTCACCGAAAACCTGATAAAAATGAAATTCTTCGCTCTGTTGGCCGTAGCCATCGTTGTGTGTGTAGATGCCGTGCCCTACTTGGGTCACGTCAACACCGGCTCATCCAATGTGCATAGATCTGACGACGTGAGTAAACCGTACTTTTGTAACTCATTACAAGTATACTAATTGTCATAACGGATGTGTGGGTTAGGGTCACGGAAACTATGCCTTCGGATACGATGAGCAACACGCTAGCGGTGGTAGCTTCAGAAGGGAAAAGGGAGGACATGGCGTTCAGGTGGGCTCTTATGGACTCACAGATCACGACGGAAGACAACGAATTGTCAACTATGTCGCCGACGCTCACGGATTCCGCGCCGATATCAAGACCAATGAGCCCGGCGTTGACCCCAAAGAAGATCCCGCAGACGTTTCCATCAATGGTGGTCACGGATACGCACGAGTCTCTCACGGACCCGTCTTGGGAGTAGCTGTCGCTGAGGTCGGTCACGGAGGTATTGGTCTTGGAGGTCTTGGAGGTATTGGATACGGCCATGGATTAGGTCCCATTGGCTCGTACGGTGTCAAGATCAACCATGTTGGATACGCTGAGCCCGCAAAGGTTCTGGCTTATGGTTACGGAAAATACTAAATGGTCTATGGATTCAAAGTTTAGTCGCTTTTGATTTCAAATAACTCATAGAAATATATTTGCGCTTCAATTCAATTAAGTTTGTGTTCAAATCAGTTCGTCATAAATGACTCAAATATTTATGTCTGCTTTCACTCAATCTTTATATAATTTAATTTAATACACAATTTGTCGTCCAATCAAATAATGCTCTGTAATCTAAACTAATTTAAATAAATCTATTCAACAGTTTATATGTGTTTTAAACTCATTTAAAATGTTATGTCTCTGTGTTAATTAAGTCCTGTTTTCTCAATAAATCACTCGTTCGCTGCATTGAAAAAAGTTTTCTCATTTTTATTTAGTTTTCATTTTTACTTTAAAGTGAATGAAAAATAAAATAAACAAAATAGTTATCGGAGAGAAAAACGAAATCAATCTTAAATATTACATCATTTCAATGATTAAGGCGTTGCTTAGACCGACGATTACCTTATCTATCATTTTAAATACTTAATGATTACTCCTATCATTCATTTAAAATCAACTCTCAGTTGTGAACAAAAATTGTTTTCCAAAAACTAATCAATTAATAATCATTTTCCTCAAAACAAATTGAGGTCGACTTTAAAACACTCATTAACGAGTTGTTTGAATATATAAACTAATAAATAATTCACATTAACCATAGAAAATAATTTTATTCATAATATCTGTTTAACAAAAATTAAAATTTGTAAGAAATTGATTCCAAAAAGGTTTTAATAAATTTAAAAACCATTGAGATGTCAAATACTATGTCTAATAGACAGCGTGTTTGAGATTAGGATCCAAAGCTCGTATGACTCTTACTTCATGACCGGGAAATTAGTGGCCGCTGTGTCCGAGTGGTGTTCCGGTGACCACAACTGAGTCACTGTTTTCAGTTGAGTGTAAAAGTTGAGACCCTTTTCCATTAAATAAGCTCGTATGACTCTTACTTCATGACCGGGAAATTAGTGGCCGCTGTGTCCGAGTGGTGTTCCGGTGACCACAACTGAGTCACTGTTTTCAGTTGAGTGTAAAAGTTGAGACCCTTTTCCATTAAATTAGCAAAATTAACTTTATATCCTTGGCTAACATTTAATTCAAATATATACCGCTTTTCCGTAGAAATTATAGTCTCCGAGGAATGAGCCCCGACTGCCGGTGAATGAAAACATGGGAAGTGGTACTGGAATACAGGTGTCAACCAATTAATACACACTTATACTAAGGAAGTATACAGTATATTGAAAGTATGCCTACCAGGAATTGGCACATTGATGCCCACTTGTCCCACATCTGCCTCATGTGTAAACTTGCGAGCGTTGGCACCATTGGTCGTAAATATAGCCGTTCCGTTGCCATAGGGGTTGGCGTTAATGATCTCAATGGCTTCATCTAATGTGTCGACACTGAGTGTCACTAAAACAGGACCGAAGATCTCTTCCTTATAGCACTTCATGTTTGGCCGGACATCAGTCAGAATAGTGGGTCCGACGAAATTTCCGGACTCAAAGCCATTCACTTTGAGGTCCCGGCCGTCGAGCACTAGTTTAGCGCCTTCTTTGACACCGCTTTCAATGAGAGATAGAATGCGTTGTTTGGCTTCGGGAGAGATAACGGGCCCCAAGTCTGCGCCGGGAATGTGTCCGGCATTCACTTTCAACTTCTTCGCCCTTTCGACCAAATCATTGATCCATTCCTTAGATTTGCCGACGAATATAGCTGTGGACAGAGCCATACATCGCTGTCCGGCCGCACCGAACGCGGCGCCGGCCAACTGGTTGAGGGCGTGCTCTTTGTTGGCGTCCGGCATAACCACTCCGTGATTCTTAGCGCCCATATTTGACTGCACTCTCTTACCATTGGCCGAACCCCTCGTGTATATGTATTTACCGGCGATGTCTGAGCCCACGAATGAAATCGCTTTAATCTTCGGGTTATCGCATATAAAGTCAACGGCTTTGTGCTGTCCATGGATTACATTGACTACACCGGGAGGAATGCCGGCCTCTTCGAGCATTTCCATGAGAATCATAGCAGCGCCGGGATCTCGTTCGGAGGGCTTCATGACAAAAGTGTTCCCACAGACCAGTGCCATCGGAAACATCCACAGAGGGATCATCGCAGGGAAGTTGAATGGAGTTATGCCTTATGGCGAGAATGGCATTCAGGGGTCATATTTAGCGATAATCAGATCATCGGATCAAATACCGGCGCAAACCCCTAATGGAAGTCTGTATGAGAAGGTGTCCATGTCTTTGGCAATGGATGGCAGTGTCTCCCCCAACAGCAGTGATGTCACACTACACGAGTGTTCGACCACTTGGAGACCCCGGAAGACGTCTCCTTCGGCATCGATTGTCGTCTTTCCCTGTTCTTCGGTTATGCTATCCGTCAGTCGTTTCTGTCAAACAATTCATTGATAATGAGCTCAAAGAGGACACCAATAACTGCAAAACCGACCAAATTTTGTTTGATAAGCGCCTGGAGTTTAAACATCGTCTGCTGTCGCGTCAGAATTGATGTCTTGGACCACGTCTTGAAGGCATTATCGGCTGCATTGACCGCCGCTTCCATCTCGGCGTCGGTACTCTTTGGAACTCTTGTCACCACTTCATTGGTTGCCTAAACACAAGCCATCACTTAATCAGATCCAAGAAATAAAAGTTTGCAAAAGTGGTCATAATTTACAGGATTTTTAAGTTCAATCCAGTCGTTGGTCTTCGAGTCCACAAACTTTCCATTTATGAAGAGTTTTGTTGTCCTCTAATCAATGAATGGTTTAATACAGACATTGTATGGCTTATGATATCAACTCTTTTACCACATTTGACGACAAGTATCGCATGTGTTGTACTCGAGGATAAATGCCTGAATTGATGGCTAATTTGCTTAAGAAATGCATTTTCAATGCTTATCTGTAAATGTGTGGTGAAGTGATCTACGGATCAAATACTGTGTGACAAGTGTTGCACTGATTGTACACTTGGACCCAAATGTGTGATCAATAGATCAGTGCATTGATGGCATTGAAAGGGTTGCCATCGAGTGATATACCAGTGATCGCACCACTCTTTGGAACTTCCATTCACTGCATTCAAGGCTAAGAACTTAAGTCTCATCAACACATCCAGATGTCATCCATTCACCACTTCATCACTTGTCGTCATTTGTGGACAAATTGTATCGAAAGTTCTCGATCTCTGTCTTCAGTTCACATCCCATTACTCATCAATATATCACGTGAT